GGAGGGGGGGGGGCAGAGGGGCACACCCGTCGGCGGTCACCCGACGCCGCCCGCCGTCGCGGCACATCACGTGGTGTGCGAACGCGCTGAGGACGGCACTCGGTCGTCGTGAAGGTCGCGCGCGTCGAGGACGCCTGTCCTCCCCCGAGCTGTCGCCACCCTCCTGGACGGCCCACTGCTCACGTGATACCCGGGTGATACCCCTCTGCTCCACACAAACGTTCCACGTGTCCTTGCTGCCCGGCCGGGACCTCGCTAGACCTTGCCCGGGCTCTCCTTCGCTGTCTCTAATTGTCACCGGGACCCGAGACCGATATGCCCCGACTGGCAGCGCGTTGCGTGGAAATGGAGGCAGATTGCTATTCAATACGATCGTTGGGGGGGGGGGGTGCTCAACGGCGGCGGCTATGTGCGGACGCAGCCCTGCCTGTTCTGCCCCGCCCTGCCTGGAGCTCTGCCTTGGCGGGCAACTGGAACCGTCGACTGGCCTGCCGCTGGACCTCGCCTCGGTGCACCTCCTTCCTCCGCTCCCCACCACCTGGGCTTGCAGGTCCGGTGAGCTGACTGGAGCTTGGCTGCGTCCCCGCCCCGCCCCGCCCCGCCCCGCCAAGCTCTACGCTAGACTGCGCCTGGCTCGGCGCGGCTCAAGTTCAGGGTCACACTGCTCTGCACACGGGGCATAACCGACGAGATGGGTACCTTGGCTGCCACGGCTGCCCGCGCTCGCGGCACCAGGCTCCTATAGCCGGTATGATCCCTGGAACGTTATTTTCCAGGGATTTGCAGTACAGGCAGGGCGCGGGCTGCTCGCCGCCTCTGTCCTGGCCGGCAGTGCCGACAAGGGATGTGGAGGCCGCAGGCCGCACGCTTTTCCGTGTGACACCCGTTGGTGTTGGGCAGGTGTTGTCACGCGGGAGTTTTTTTCTAAATGGGGTAACTTTCTGCCTTATAACCCCCTTTTTTTATTTCCGTTAAAAGTGAAAGAGGGCGAGCGCAGGGAATTAAATTTGGGAAACTGGAAATCAGCAGCGCGGCCCTGGACAGCAAAGCAGAGGGGCCTCGGACGTTTAAATTGCGGCCCTCTTGCTGCAGCCGCTGCACGAGGCCGAGGGGCCAACACGTCGTCCGCGTCCGGGAGCAGCTGATTCGGCAGCAGCTCCCCGCCCCGCCCTGCCTGCATAGTGATCGGGACCGGCTGCCCACCGCGGCTTTCCCCCGCACGGCCCAACAAGCTCCGCCCGTTATCGCCGTGTCCGTTATTGCCCAAAATGTCGCTATCAAGCGCCTTATAAAGTACACACGACGAGAATAATAATAGTAGTAGCAATAACAACCCCCCTTTCACCCCCCCCTTTCACAAGCCGTGCGCGGCGAGGCGAGCTCCGCCGGCTGTGCGCGTGTGTGTGTGGTTTCCGACTCTGATCTTGCCGAAGTGCGGATACTTGCCATACCAATAGTGCCCTCACCCACCGCGTCGGCACAGCCGCGGGTAATGTCTTCCTCCGCTGCAACACGCCGGACCGCCCCTGCGCATATCTCACGCACAGCTCCTTCCCGTCGTTTGGCCTGACGAGCTCCCGCCATGGCTCCGCCGCGGGGCGGGATGCATCAGATCTTCTTAGCTTACGTTATTCCTTATTAAGTCGCGCGGTGGGCCGGCCCTGACGCGGCCGCTGCTGCTTTCTCGACACGCTTTTTGCCTTTTTGGCCGGAGGGCCCGTTGTGTGCCGGCCCCTGCTCATGTGCTCACATATGCTTTTGCGTTCGACGGGGGAGGCGCCGCGCCTGCTGCTTTTTGATTTCTTTCTCTCTTTTCTTTAAAGCTTCCTTGCGGTATCCTCTAATTTATTTGAGGCGTATTTTTTTCTGCACATCCTCAATCAAAGGCTTGTGGCCCCCTCCCCCCGGCCCTGGAGCGGTTGCATTTTTTATGTGCTGGTGTTGATGCTGACTGAGGAGCGAGGGAGTCTTGCCGAGCAAAGAGCTTCATTATCTCGGCTACCGTCGCGGTTTGTGTTATGGTTGTTCTTTAGGACCGCGGCGACGCCCCCTCCCATCCTCCCCGGTCGCCTGCCTTGGCCAAGGTCGGTCCGGCCCGGCCCCGGCGGCCCAGCGCGTCGCGGCGCCCGCTGCCCGTGATGCCCGCACCGCCCCGCACCGCCCCGCACCGCCCCGTCCCGTCCTTCCCTCGTGACGGCGCTGCGCCGCACGACTTGTTTTCGGCGCATCCATCCACATTCCTCCGGCGACGTGCAGGCAGGCCCTTTTCCGATTCATGACGACGGTATGTCGTTCCGATTATGACGTTAACTGGCTCTGCGGAACTTCCATCATCAGTCTCCACAGTAGGTGCGCGCACCGCGACAGAGGATACGCAGCCGCCCGCCCGAGCGGCCAAGCCGACCGCGCGCAGCGTTTTCCGCGAATGGTTGCGAATTGCTGTGAATCGCCTCCTGTGTTTTCTTGCGTCGAGGGCACGACAGGGAGGTACGGAGGGGGGGGGGGGGGGCATCGGCAGGGGCACTACGCCAACGATGTCGACGGCGGCGGCGGCGTCGCAGGTCACCGTTCCACGGAAAATGTCCTGCTGGCCGCGGGGGGGGGGGGGGGGGTGGTAATGCCTGCCGCCTTGTGCGCCGCCCGCTGGCGGCACTAGCAGGACGGGCAGTAACGTTGATTGATATTGCCCTGCCTTGTCCTGGCGCTCGAATGGACCGACTCTACTTACACCGGGCGGCCGCTACGCCCGCCGGCGACGGCAGCGGTGGCGATGTGGTGTGATGCAAGCCGGCACAGTACAGTTAATTGCCGCTCTAATTTGTAACAAATATCGGTCATGCTCGCGGCCATCGCCGCGGCCGCCGCCGGAGGGTGCAAGCAGCGGCGCCGGCGGCTCCCCGCCCCGCGGCCCCGTGCGCTGTGTCGGGCTGCACCGCGCACAGTTATCGTTCCGGCCGCGTGCGAATGACGCCCCACCGTATGGGCCCCGTGCTGCCGGTTCAGATCAGCTCTTTGGCTCATCTTCCCCTCCTTTTTTCGGACGCGTCGCGGAAAGAGGGGCGGGAGGGGGAGTTGTAGGAGGGAAGCCCTGATCGCCGCTGTGTGCGAGACGTGGAATAAATTGGTGCAATCTTGCCTCGCTGATCGACCGGGTACAGTCCGTTCCGCCAAACTGTGGCGCGCGGGCCCCGCGTGGGCGGCGGGGGGCTGCTGCTCGTCGTGCAACGGCCCGCCCTTGAACCTAGTGTGCACGCCGTATATTGTGTACCGTAACATTTCTTACGGCACGTCGGACTGCCTCTGCGCCGCCCCCGCGCCGCCCTCGTTGCCGCATTCCACTTGCCATTCCGTGTGAAACGGTAAAGTCGCGGACGCGGGCCCCAACACGATACGCGATATGGCTCCGCGAGGAATAATTGCCGCATCGGGAATGATGCGGAAAATCGGACTCGGCTGCGCGCTGCTGGCCGCCCCGCCGGCGCGCGGCATGCTCGAAATGATTAAATATATTCCCCGTCGAGTCGTGTTGGGCCCACCGTGCTGCGGGCCGCCGCGCCGTCGGGCTGGTTCCAGGTTGCCGCGCTCTCGCCCGCGCCCTGCAGTTATTCGGCATATCTTTCACGTTTTTCCCCGGCGCTATATTACTACTACCACTGTGTTTTTGTGCCTGTGCGAGTGAAATCTACTCGCGGCCAGGCCAGGCGCCACTACTTACTTACTACTACTACTGCGCGCGGCTGAATTTGAATACGAATCGCGCGGGCCGAGTCGTTCCAGGGGGCGGGCTGTTTGAGTTTATCACGCGCGGCGCCCCGGCGGCCCCGGCCTCCCGCCCGCATCAGGAGCCGCCGCCGCGGCGGTGGCGGAGGTCCTGTGGGTGATGGATAGGCGAGTGAGGTGGGTGGCGGCGGTGCGCTGGCGGTGCCCTGGAGGTGCCGTGGTGGTGCCTCCCAGGAGCAGGAGGGCTTCCGTTTAGCGGTCTGGCTCCCTTCGCCCCGGGGCCCGGGCACTTACCCCGGACTTCCTCCTCGACGCACCTCTTATCTCTCCTCCCCGTTTCTGTCGGTTTGTGCGGATGCCAACTATCAGCGAATAATGTCATCGCCTAACTGGTCGGGTGCGGGAGGCGCGTCTCTTGAGGACACCGCCGCCGCCGCACCGGGACGCTTTTGGGAGCCAACGACCGGGCAGCAGGATCTTGGCGATCGAGCAGACGCCTCGCGATGCGCACCCTCGACGCGCTGGCCTCACAAGGTCGAGGCCGTGCTCATGGACACCTTCTCGACGGCGACCTCGCGCGCCGGCGGAGGAAGGACCTTGGAATCGTGTCGCAGACACACGCCGCCATTTGCGACAGGCGCGACGGGGGAGCAGAGAAAAGTGTTTGATACCGGTTTCCGTTTCTCCTTTTCGGTCCCGGCCGGTTCGGCTGGATGCATAAACGGCACGAGAGTGGTCCGGGACGGTCCGGGGGTGTTGTTTACTGCCGGCTGTGGCGTGGCGTGGCGTGGCGGGGCCGCGCCGGGGCCTTGGCCGATACGGCTAAACCTGTAGGGGGCGGGGCGGGGCTCGCGGGGCCCGCGCGCACCTGCAGCACACGGAGTGCGTCTTGTGCGACGCGATCGGGGTCATTGGGACGTGGCGGGGGAGGCGG